AACTAATAATCGTGCTGAATTGGTGGAAAAAGTCCGTGAAATCATTGGTATCGATGCAAATTTTACTACGAGAATGTTGGCTGAGGAATTGAAAGCGAGTAAAAACACTATTTGGAGAATATTAACTGAAGATTTGGGGAAAAGAAAGGTCTGTGCGCGATTTGTTCCACATGAATTAAATGACGACCAAAAAATCGCTCGAATTTTTAATGAAAAAAGGACTTTCTCTCATCGACCATCCACCGTATTCGCCTGATCTATCATCATGTGACTATTTTTTATATCCAAAACTGAAAACCGAGATGAAGGGAGCATTTTATGATGATATCCCAGCCATTCAAGCAGCCGTAACCGAGGTACTGAAGAACATTTCTATAAATGACATACAAAAATCTATGCATGCGCTGGTTGATCGTTCCAAACATTGCGTTGAGTCAAATGGAACCTATTTTGAATAAATAATAACTTTCAAAGATAATATAATGTGTATTTTATTTTATATCCAAAAAGTTCGCTTATTTTTGGGACACACCGCGTATGTACATACATACATATATATTAGGTGTAGTAAAATGAAATCCACTATTTTTCAAATAGATGGCGTTATTTATCTATATCTCGCGCTGTATAAGTCCGATCGGGTTACGCTAGATGGCGTTAGAAAGATGACATTTCATACAGAAAAAGGCTTCTCAGACAGTGTTTGTGTTTCGTTGCTTCAGTTTTGTTCGAGCATGCGTCAAATCCTGCAACTAACCATCTCACATAACTTCCATCCAGAGCAATCTATCTTATGAGAGCGTTATGAAAATACAAAGTTGTCACTGCTTGTCTATGCCGTTACTAACGGTTGTCTCACAATATCTCACAAATACTCGTGTTTGTATATTCTGTAACAGTCGGATGTTATGGCTGTGCGGTATGTAAGATGGGTAGTTGCAGCTAAAGATGGACACAGTTCATCTTCGATAATGCGAAAATGCAAGCCACGCGACTGAAAATGGAAGCAACGTTTACGGTCCTGATACTGTTACAGTCTATCACGCACATTTTCGGTTTCATTCCGATGATTTTGATATAAAAGATGCTTCACGGAGTGTAAGGCCAATTGTCGAAAATGTCGGTAAAACCGTGGACTGTCATATCAGCACTGTTTCGATTGCCCAAGAGCTAAAGATTACAAAGAAAAAAAAAACCGTTTGGAATCAATATGAATAATTAAACCAATCAATTTTATGCAAAAATAATGGATTACATTTTACTAAGCCGACGAGGTGTGACAAAATTTTGCACCAAACGTACGCTAAAATTGTAAAAGAGCCGAGGTGATCGTGCTCTTAGTCGTGTCCAGGTGTTTCGATGGCATAAAGAGTTGAAGTATGCACGTGAAAGCGTGCAAGACGAGGCGCGGAACAGGAGACCCGTCGAGTTGCGGACTGACACGTATGGGCAGCGTGTGCGCGCGCTCTAATCCTTGAGGATCGTCGTTTAACAGCTCGAATATTGGCGTCGCAACTGGGTATGAATCGTGAAACAGTCAGACAAGTTTTAACCGACGATTTTGGGATGAGAAAGTTTTGGATCCTGCTTCACGACAACGCGCCGTGCCACACCGCCATCAGGGTGTCCCAGTATTTGGCAGCTAAAGGGATCGCCGTGTTGCAAGAACCGCCTTATTCGCCCGATATGTAAGCCTGTGACTTTTTTTGTTCCTTAGAACAAAATCGGTATTTAAATTGAAGACGTCCAGGCAGCCAGAAATGTTACGAAGCATGAAAAACGCGCTGCCAAAGGAGACTACGTTGAAGGGGCTGGCAGAGTTGTAGTATAATTTTGAAATTTACGGTTTTTATTGAATCAGTCATCAGTCGGTAAGAGCTCCTGAGGGTACCTGAGCACGGACACAACACTCTGACCCTACGGCTTATTTTCCATCCACTTGAAGTTTAGTTTCTAAGACTAATTGAAGACTAGGTAAAGAATATCCTTTAAAACGACTCTAAAATACTATAGTCTACAATTGCTTGGAGCAGAGCAATTACATAATAGTTGGAAATTTTTTTCATCCTGCTCATCAATCCTGTAGCTCCTGCGTATATCATCTTCAGAAAGAGACATCTAGCCTCTCTTCTACATGCTGTCCTATAAGATAATGCACCGGCAGAACTCCATTTACCTTTGAGATCTCCTACCTTTCAGATAATACAGAGATAGAGATAAAGAGAGAGGGAGAGACTTCTCCGATCACATTTCCACCAAGTTTGTCCCGATAAGTGTTAGGTTAAGTTTTGTTTACACTTTAAGGCGACTTGTAAGTGAAAATATGCCGAATGGTTAGCCGAGTTCTGGTCCGATCAATATATTAACCCCTTCGAGTATATTTCGAATGAAAATGAAGCTATGGATCCATCCATTTGTTGGAAAAACCATCTAGACGAATATCACATATTGGAGTCGGAGCTCGGCCGACATTCGTTTCAGCGGTTAATATATTGCATAAGGATGACCATGCCGTAAGGAGCTTCTCTTTCTCGCTCATATTTTTTTAAGCTTATTTACAACAAATTACAATAACACCATAATTATATCAACCGTAATGAGATATTTAAGCTCAAAAATGAAATTTCCCACACGCATTTGGAAATCTCATTAAAGAGTTGCTTGGAAACTGACCAGAATTCCTGTAGGCATACGTTACCGCACAACACCAACAACAGCAACCAAAAGAACAATATCACAAAAATCTGTAGCCGAAAATGGAAGGCATATCGCCCTTGGCAACTCTCTTTCAGCTTGTAGCTCAACGAAAATACCGTTGGAAATTTCATATAACCCCTGCATGCATGTTGTTGTGCTTTCACATATACGTGTACACATATACATATTCCAGTTACATTTTTTCCCATTGTCAACGGTATTTCATCGCTGATGTTTACTCACCTTTTCATCATTGCAGCAATCATTATCCGGACGGCATTAAATGAAGTGTTAAAAGATTTGGTACACGGTTTGGCTAACGGCATTGCATGGTGTATGTTGCGTTGCCAACCATTCGGTTGTATGCACAAGTTGTGGGCGCTTTGAGGGTTGATTGGCTGCAGTTGGTCCGCCGTTATTTTAACGAGTGTAACGACTTCGTCTTCGTCTAATGCATGGCACGTGCAGAACGACAGCCAAACAGCCAAACAATCAACCGACTACTCGGCCACCAGCGTCGACACATACACACACACATATGTACATACGTCTGTATGTATATACACGTATGTATGAACGTGTGTATGTTGCTTACGCCACCGCCTCCTTCTGTGAAAAGGCTGCTGCTGCACTTTGCATCCACTTTGTATCACATTTCATAATATTTTGACTTCGGCTGGTGGATTAATTAACACAGAACAGACGTTTCGCATGATAAATGAATATCTTGTGATGAGGATTGTTCTGATGAAGTAGTGGGAATATGTAATCGGGTATATATATGTATGTATGTGATTATATATGTATGTACTTAAAGTTAAGCTTAAAAGTATTTTTACATGGGTCTTAAGGCATTTTGGCTTTCAAGAAGAAATTAAACGTACTTAATTAAATTTTATGGCCAAGGACTTCGATGCATTATAAATTTGAGAGACCTAATTTTCGACCACTTTTTACAACCGATATCAGCTATAACTCGGTCTCGATCTGCATAGACAAGCGTTTAGCATAACCTCACAAAAAAAAACCAACGGTGTTAAATCGCATGATTTTTGAGACCACGTCACAGGCCCACGACGCAAGATAGTGAGCTCACCAAAAGTGTCCTTCAATAAATTTCTTTGTTTCGTTGGCTGTGTTGGCATGTTGCGGCGTTTTGTTGGCACCAAAAATCATCCACATCAACATCCTCCAATTAAGGCACGAAAAAGTAATTAACCTAGGTTCTATAGCGTTCCTCATTTTTATTTTGTTCTAAATTTTTTATATTTCTTTCTCATTTCTTCTTTTTTTTCGATTTGTATTTTTCTTTTAAATAATTTCGTTCGTTTTTAATACCTTTTAATCTCCTCATATTTTTTTTTATTTTTTTTTCATATTTTATTGATTTTGAATTTTCTTTTAATACAATTAAAAATGTATTTAATTTTATTTTTTTAGTTTTTTTTAAACTTTTTTTTATAATTTTTTATTTTTTTTTGATATTTTTTTCTTCTGATATTTTTATTTTTTGATATTATTCATACATTTTAAAGTTTTTGTTTTGGTTCTTTTTTTGGGCTTTTTAGTAATTCTTCAATTTATATTTTAATTTTTTTTTTTAATTTTATTTTTTTTTTTAATTTTATTTTTTTTTTAATTTTATTATATTTTAATTTTACTATATTATAATAATTTTGATCCACTTCTGATATTTTTTTTTGGTATTTGTTACAAATTTTTAGTTTTTTTTTTAATTTTTCAATACTTTTTTTAATTTACTTTTTGATATTTTTTGTTTTTATCTGGTATTTTTTATTCTTTGGTACCTTTTCAATTTCTAAATATTTCTTCCCTTTAAATATTTTTTTGTTATTTTATTTGACTTTTTAATATTTCTTCAATTATTTGGTAGTGTTATTTAATTGTTTTCTTAATTTTTAATTTTTTTGTTATTTCAAATTTTTCTGTTATTTTATTGGTATTTGTTTCATATTAATTTTTTTCTCATTTTTTATATCTTATTCCTAGTTTTTCAATATTTTTTGAATATTGTTGTTGTTTTCGATTTTTTACTATTCTAATATTTTTTAATTTTGAATTTTCTGTTCTTTCCAATTTTTTAATTTCTTTGTTTTAACTCAATTTTTTTAATTTTATTTAATTTTTTAATAATCTATTTAATATCTCTTTTATCTTTTATTTTATTAATAGCTTTTTAAATTAGTTAGTTTTTTTTTAATATATAAATATTTTTTAATATTCTGTAATAATTTTTCCCCAAATGTATAATTCCCTTACCAACTTTAGTGACATAAACCAGCTTTAAGTGTTACTTAAATGTTTTTTATTGTATTTCCCTAAAAAAATTTCCGTTTTCCGCCTTACGAAAGACTTGTTGAATTTAATTTGTGTGTAAAAATATAAGCTCTTTCAATATTTTTCATTAACAACTAGATTGTAATTTTTAAAATTCATAAGCATTGAAGCTAAAATAAATATAAAATGTTAATACTAATAATATTTGAGTAATGGGTTAATTGTTAGTGGGTTTTCTTTCCTATTTACGATTACCGCGTCCGCGTTTACGTTGCGGATACTGTTCCGCGCCATCGTCTGAGCTGGCAGACTCTTCGATTACTTTGCTACGTGGACCAGCGCGTGACGTCGCTTGCGTTTTGGATGCATTACTCGCTTTACTCCTACTTTTTTCATTCGCTGATGATGATGATGCTACTTTACGACCGCTACGCGCTGTTTGCGCCTTACCCCTTACTTCTTCTTCATCTTCTTCTGATGCTGATGATGATGAGGAAGACTCCCCAGCACGATTACGCGCAGCGCGTGCCGCTATTTTGTTGCGCACCTGTTGTTGCTTTTGACTTCTGGGCGCCTCATCTTCACTGCTGCTTGATGATTCACTACTCGATGATTTGCCACGTCGGCCACGACGTCCGCTAGTTGCGCGTTGTGTGGCGCCGCGACCCGATTTTTTGTCCATTCTTTGTTTGTTGCGCACACCAGCACGGCCAGTGTTCGAATCGCCGCCACCATCGGCAGCGCTGCCCTCTTTCTCCTCGCGCTCTTTCCCATCATTCACTTCGAGACACTCATTAATGCGCGTTTCCAACTCCACAACGACCGCTTTCAATTCCGGTTTTGCCATTTTCGAAGTATTACTTATGATCAATTTGAATGATTGATATACCTCGTCTATTTGTACTTTATCCTTGTAATATTGTATGTTATCGATGAGCTTCTTGATGGTGCGCTCATTATACGAGAGCAAGCTGAGACAGTAGGCAATGTCGCGCCACTGTCGCTCCTCACGTGTCACAGGGAAACGCAAACACAATTTCTCCACCAAAGTCTCCACTTGGCGATCCTTCTGTATAAGACCCAAAATGTAGCGCATTATTGTGCGATACTTTTCCTCTTCCACATTCAGATTGGTATCACTCAGCTTGGAAATGATGTCCGGCAGTACGTTGTAGAGTATATTTGATTTGTTGGCAATCTCTTTGAAAAATTGCTGTGTTATATTTTTAATTTCCGCATCAGCGTCCACAATACACATTGCCAGGTCGGCAATTTGTCCCTTCACACGTATCATTTCGTGCAAAATTAAATGCGAGAGCATTTTCACCGCCGTCAGACGCAGCTCGGTATTCTTTTCGTGTAATGTCGAGTAAAAGTGACCAGTCCAAGCTTCAATTATATTCGGAAAACGAAATGTTAAGTCAGACAAACCAATCACAATGTTACATTTGATTTTTATATTCTTTGTGTGATTCAAAATATTCATTAGAAATGGCATATTCGCATCACAAAAAGTTGACGAGACGCACATGAAGCGTATAAGCGTGAGTGTGGCCGCCTGTTGCAGTGATTGATCGTGATATTTAACAGGATATTTGCAAATCTCCATAACGTAAGGAAATATTTTAGCAAGCATTGAGTTTTCCGAATACAACAATACGTCCTCGCATATGTGATTGATCAGCTCGGCGATATTATCTTCCGCGGTGGCACCCACAAGATCTTCATCGGGCTAAAAAAAAAAAATAAAACAAAAAAAAAAGAGTTGTAATGAGCATAAAAAAAATGTAATTAAGGAAACAGAAAAGAGGACTTTTTTTTTACTACTCAACACCCACCTCCTGTTGTGGCTCTGCAGCTGTGCCTGACAAGCGTTTAAGTGACTCTGTTGCTGACATATTCAAATTACCCGTCTTTCGGCGCGTGGTATTGAACGCATTCTTCTTTTTCTTCTCCTCACATTCTGTCAGCTCTTGTCTGAATTTCATATTGTTATACACATCAATATCGAGGAAAATCATCTCTTTCAGCGTCATATAGCCGATGATGAAGAGAAAACGTGTTAGCAGAAATACTGGCATACGCTGTTGGCTCGCCTGCGTTGCTTCCGTATTCCTCTGCGTCGGCTGACTCTCTGGTATGACCTGTGAGAAGGGCGTTTCGAGTGCGCGCGCTTGCTGTGACGGTGTTATATCTGTGGTAGATACTACTGCGTAATCACGAAATTTTTTTAACAAAGTCACAACAATTGTTTGACAAATTATATCTGGCGTTTGGCATAGATGATAGAAGAATTCCAATGTACGCATTGATAGCCTATCAAAGTCCGTTATGTCGGGATGAAAGAAGAAACGCTGAAAGAAATCGAGAACTTTTTGCACTAGCGCTGAATCAGGCTCGTAACGTTTATAGAATTTAGAATGTGCGCTTGAGTCGATGGAATTTAACATAAATTCCATGCAACCGGTGTAAATGCGTGGATCCGCTTTGGCGCGTTCGCCCAAACCGATAGTTTCTATAACATTTATGTTTGCCGATGCAATTGATGACTTCGCATTGGAAGACATAATGAGTAGTTGTAGCGCAAGTCGTGATTCATTGTCGGTGGTACCTTCTAATTTCAATGTGAAGCGTTCGAAGAGCACTTGTATGATGGCAGCGTCAATGTCATCGGTGCTGACCCATTCACGCATCAAGCACTCCATGGCAGTGTAATGACCATACTCGAGTTCTTCAAGAAAACGCATGAGATTTTGTACTACTTTAATGGCGTGAGCTCTGAAAAGTAACAGAATGAAATTATGTTACGCCTATTTTTATTAAAAATTTTTTTTTTTTTTAATATATTTAAACAGTTAAAAAAAATATTAACATTTAAAAAAAAAAATAATATAAGAATTTAAAAAAAAAAAATAATATTAAAATATAAAAAAAAAATATTAAAATATTGAAAAAAAAAAAATAATATTAAAATATTAAAAAAAAAGTAATAATAAAATATTCAAAAAAAAAATGAAATGAAATTATGTTACGCCGATTTTTATTTAAAAAAAAATTTTTTTTAATATATTTAAACAATTAAAAAAAATATATAATATTAAAAAAAAAATTTTAATATTTAAAAAAATAAAATAATAAATAAAAAAATTATATTAAAAAATTAAAAAAAAAACATTAAAAAATTAAAAAAAAAACAATAAAAAATTAAAAAAACATTAAAAAATTAAAAAAAAATATTAAAAAATCTAAAAACATCATTTTAAATTATTAAAAAAAAAATAAAAAAATAATATTAAAAAAAATAAAAAAAAATATTTAAAAAAAAAATAAAAAAAAAATATTAAAAAAAAATAAAAAAAATAATATTAAAAAAAAATGAAAAAATATTAAACTATAAAAAAAAATGTTAAAAAATTGAAAACAAAATTTAAAAAAAAAACTATAAATTTCAAAAAAAAACTCAAAAAAATTAAAAGTTTAAACATTAAGAAAAGTTTAAAAATTAATTATATTTTTGGTATCTTTTTTATTATTTATTATTATTAATTTTTTTTACTTTTTATTTCTATTTTATTTTCTATTTCTTTTTTATTTTTAAATTCTTTTGCCTTTTCTAATTTTTATTTCTTTTTTAATTCTTATTCTTTTTGCATTTTTTAATCTTTAGTTTTTTTATTGTTTTTTTATTTTTATTTCTTTCGTATTTTTCATTATTTTCTTTTTTATTTTTATTTTGTATTTTTCTTTTTTTTTTTTTTAATTTTTTTTTGCATTTTTTATTTCATTTTTATTATTCATTTCTTTTGTTCTTATTTTTTTATCTTTTGTATTTTTTATTTTTTATTTCTTTCTTTTTTTTATTTTTTATTTCTTTCTTTTTTTTATTTTTTATTTCTTTCTTTTTTTTATTTTTTTATTTCTCTTTATTTATTTTTCCTATTTTAAATTGTTTTTTAATTTGTTTTTTTTTTGTTTATTTGGTTATATTTTTTACTGGGTTTTATTTTTTACTCAGTTTTATAAATTTTTTTATATTTTTTATATATATATATTTTTTTTTATATATATATTTTTTTATATATATTTTTTTGTAATTGTTTTTGAATTTCTATATTTTTTATATTTTAACTTACCTTCCCGTTTGATCAGTGCTAAATAAAACTTTTTTGTAGGCATTCGAAACTGCATCACGTTTTTCCTTATCGGATGACCACACCAGGTACAACATTTGTTGCATGCCACCTTCCGTTCCTTTAATAGCAAACATATAGCCAGTTGTAAAGAGATCGACAGCTTCAAAAACATCCGAGTTGGTTTTGGACAGCAACAGCTCTTGTATTTTTGGCACAGCTTTAGTAATGACTTTTGAGAATTCGATGGAATCTTGCAAGAATTGCACCGTTTTTATTTGAGTTCCCAATTCTTCGTTCTAAAAATAAAGACGACTTCTTTAATAGCTTTAACAATTATATTGTAATCAAAAACCTTACGCTATCTTTGCAACCGTTCGCCAGAAATATATAAGACTTCAGCAGTGCCATATAGTAAGCGCATTGTTCTTCAATTTTTAATGTGTGTCTGCAATAAATTAAATATAAAATTTAAAATAATATTTCCGTATGCGCTGCATACCTCAACTCGGCATTGCCCGCCACCTGATCGGCTTTTCGTACTAAAACAACAGCCTCACGATATTTTTTCTCCAGCAGCAGTGTAGAGATACGTTGTATCATATCTTCATAATTTTCCTGTGTATTTTCTGGCAAATCTTCTGTGCCTGTAAAATAAGAAATTGAGAAAAGCTTTTGGTTCATGGAAAACATCATTATTTCCATTTAACTGTACTCACACTCCTTCAAACTCTCAGCTACTAAAGGTAATATTTCTGGTATCACTAGGTTCCATTGCTCATCCAATTCTTCGGCCTTTTTACGTTCTTCCGCTAGTAATTCACTCAATTTCTCCATTTTTTCACACTCTTCTGCATGTTTTTTCATTAATTCTTCAAGTGTCAACTTGGCCGCAAACGGGTTGCGTTCCAAAAACGATTTAATCAATTGTACGGCATGTTTGCGTACAGAGGATGTTTTATCTTCTAAGCGCTCTACAGCTTCACATAAAACTTTCAGCTGAAAAGATAGTGGCACGGCATTCTCTTCTTTCATATGATTCCAAATCTGTAAAACTTTGGCACGCACATGTGCTGACACATCGTTGATGTGCGCAAGTAAATTTTCAAGAAATTCATTACGCGCCTCCTTCATTTCTTCAGAAAGCTCTTCGGATGTTAACTCACCAACAATAGCATCGCCCATTATTTGTAATATACAATTGCGTAGTGTGTGTGATTCACAATTCAAAAGCTCATCGCAGAGCGTTGAGAGATGTGGTATCATAAGTTTTGGTGCAATGGTAGCAAGTTCCATTAGGAAATTGGAGAAATTGCGTGACACAACTGTATCAGCAGAATCAACAGTTAACGTTTCAACGATGTCCTTTATGAGTACAGAGAAAACACTACTTATACCATATTCCTCATACAAAAGATTAATGCCACTTGCAATGGATTCTGCAGCATGTTCTGTAGTGCGTAATATTTGTAATACTCGCACAGGAAATGTGAGCGCGTGATTATAGCGTTTTATGGCTGTGCCTAAAATTTGGAATACTGTGTCAGTAATATGTCGGTTTTCAGAACGCGGATGTACCAATTCGAGCGTGCGATAGCATATATCACAAACTAAATTAACGAAATTTTCTTCAGCTACAGGTGGATTCCAAAGTTTTTCGAGCGGAAATTGTAAAATATTATAAAGTTGTACCAGAAAACGTCCGCGCTTTGAATCCCAATCCGGATATTGCTCGAGCGTTTCAGTTTGTTTCGAACGTTTCTTCTGTTGCGTTTGCTGTTGCTGGTTTTGTGCCGCCACACTATCAATACGTCTCACCGTATTGATTTGTAGGAACATTGCCATTTTGGTGAGATTAAGATAGCTTTGCCTATCTTCTAGACTTTGTGCTGTATCGCTGCATGATAGAATCGGCGCTAAACGCTGACCCAACTTATCGGCTGTGATATACAGTAAGTCAAAGGCACGCATAAGATTAGTAATGGAAGCTGGATCAGAGCCTCGTCCTTCAATTATGGTAAAGTATGTGTCGAAGTGATCGAATAAGTAGAATGGATCGCCTTGCTGTACCATCTGTTTGCATACTACATCAAAATAATTAATTTGATTAATAACTAAAATATTTAGTTTTAATAAACATATAATATAAACTCACAGCGTAAGCGTTCACCAATCTCGTTTGGCGCATAGATTTGTTTCACATAGTAGCTATCACCGCTCGAGTTCAGCAGCTCAGCATTGGTATTTGGCAGTACAAATTGGAAATCCATAGCGCCCTTATGGTTGTTAGAGAATTTTTAAATTATATCCGCGTCCGCCGTGATTACCTCACGAGTTTTGTATTTTGTTTTAGAGTCAAAAAGCACTCATTAACAATATTTATAAGAAAATAGCGTAAATTATCCAAACATACACAATAAAAGAAATTAATTTATTTATGTGACGCCGGCTGCCGTCACAATTGAAAAGCAACTGACGCTAAAAAGTGACAGGGTTGCTTCTGGTACAGCGTGAACATGATTCAGTAAAAAAAAGTTTATGTACATGATCGCAGATTTGAGCATTTATATTTGAAAAAGACATTTTTTAATTTTTTTCATTTGTATGTGCAATAAAAATCTATCATTTGGTTTCCATACCATTACTGGTTAAGTGATTTTATTTGAAATGCGGTTTGTAAATTTTTGAATTTATTTTTAACGAAACTAATATTTATTTACTATTGGCCATATTCAGACTAAAATTTATGATCTTATTTTCCCTTCTTTCGCCTTGCTCCTTTTCCATCGCCCCCACCACTACTACCAGCACCGCTTTTGCCGTCCTTGGCTTGTATCGCAGGTCCACCATTTACTTTCTGCATGCGACCCACTTGCATGTCCTTCAACTTAGATTGTAGTTTTTTCTTAGCTTGTGCAAGGTCAGCTTCTTCGCGTATTGTTTTCGCTGGTTTTGGATGCAAGAATTTTACCCGCTCTTCTCGTTTTACTGCTTCGCCACAGCCATGAACTTCCGGCAGACCATGTTTGAAACAAAATCGCTTACGACAGAGCTCGCAATCTTGTCCCATAAGCTTTGTCTTAGTTTTACAACGCGGATAGTCACACATATTATCAACATCCTTAACAGCGGTCAACACGTCGTCTAACTTCAAATTAACCACTTCCGTTGGAATTCGTTCCAAAAGCTCTAAGGTGTTATTAGTTCCATAATTTGGGCGTGATTTTCCTGGTGCTATGGGAAAAAGTGGTGCGTCTTGAGCTGCATCTGAGGAGCTAGAACTTTTTGTGGCCGAATCAGTTGATTCAGACTTCTTTTTGGTGCCTGTAGAAGAAGTTATAGAAATGAATTATTATAAAAACAAGTATTTATTTAATTTTACGTTTCTCTTCCATTTGTATGCACTTTTGTCAGCTTTTGTTTACATGCGAAATAAAAATGTATGGTACAGCTGTTTTTGACAACTGTATGTTTTTAGAGATGCGATTAAATTTGAGCACAATACAAAACCGAATATTCATATTACTCTATTCAATCGCAATTTTAGACAAAATTTTTTTGACAAAATTTGTTGATCGAAAAATTGTTTACCTAAAATAAGTTAATATCAACTCAAAAACACAAGTTTAGAAAAAAAAATTACTTTTATTTATTATAAAAACTCAATTAATGATATCCTTAAATAGTTTATCCACTTTCTTCTCCTTATTCGCATTAAAACTAGCTTTCCATTGAGTTGCCGACAGCCTATATGTTTCAACTCGGAATTTATTGTACAGTAGTCTCCCGAAGGGTGTGCCCTTTAACATATTCACTTTATCAGCAAGCTCTTTCACAATACGAGACTTTTGAGACTCCTGAGCAGCGTTAAAACAGCTATCCACAACACGGGAGCCAAATTTAGTGGTGGCCAAATCCACGTAAAAACCTTCAATATGTCGTATGAACTTTTCTCGAGATTTTTCGCCAATATATTTACTTTGGAGAAATGCGTCCACAATGTGTGAGCCATTTGGTGTATTGAAGATGGCTACCAATTGTTCGGCGGGTATTTCCAATATACAATTAACCAAAAATATAGGCTTATTGAATCGTAAAATATGTTGAATAATTAGTGAGCCGTGTAGGTGCACGAAAGCACTATTATCCGCTTGTACTACTTCGAATGGCTTTAATTTTAGAAGACAAAAGAAAAAGCTCTTTCCTTTTTGCTTATCGGTCGCTGGCGTATGAAGGGCCGTTTGTAACGATACAATACATTGAGCTTGTTTTGCCCCGACGCGTAGGCATGCTCCGGCGAGCGCTTCGACAACTCCAGTATGCCCAATTTTAAGCAGCTCCTCAATATCATTTGCCAGCTCTCCAAAAACGTTTTCAAAATCTTCCTTTTCTTTAATATTTTGTAAAAGCTTTTGCACTGCAAAATTTGTAAGCTGTTCTTTTGCAAGCAGCGATAAACGGCCTGTAAAAAGCATGGCATACAGTTGTGTGTACAGTTTTGGGCCAGCCACTGCAAGCAGCGTTTCAAGTAATATAACCGCTGATTGGTATTCAAATACTTTAGGTAATTGAATGCTGGTCTGTTCCTTTTCCTTTACTTTCTCTGATTCATTTGCTCCCTCTTCATTTGTTTCTTCATCTTCATTATCCAATATTTCTATTTTCTTTTCTTTTTCTGCGTCGTTTTGTTCCACCTTAAGAAATGCATCCATTAATATTTTCTTACCAAAATGCTTCAAAAGTTGCTTGTCAGTCGCACGTAATGCAATGCAAATTACGCCGAGCAAAGCTGAGGAGTGTTCTTGATATGGGAAGTCGGAAAATTGAGGCCACATTTCTAAACGTTGAGGAAACTCTCTCAGTACCTCCACCCACTCGTCTGGCACATGATACAATTTCCGATTTTTCATCATATCAGCGCCACTTTTTTCGAAAGCCACTTTTGCGATATGTACGCCAGCCAAGCAAAGTATGCTAGTCCTCATGATGTGATTAGCACATGAATCCCATACGAAGTCTTCAAGATTGTTGAGTAAAAACTTGCTCACACGTAACACAAACTCATTGCAATGTTGTCGGTGCTCAACACTGAAGTCAGTTTGAAGGTTGTATAATTCCTCACTAATGGCAGTTACCTCAGTTTTAGGTCGCTTAGACGCTGGTCCGTTTTCTTTGGTATTTACGCTGTCCTCGTCTTCTGCGGGATTTTTTAATTTATCATTTCCTAAAGAGCGTAAAAATGCAACTTCGACCATTTTCTGTAGCACATGTGAGGCAAATCGATCAGAGCAGATTGGTCGAAAATTATCAGCAAAGGCATTAAAGAAGCGTTCCAAATTTTCCGCATCCACAAATCCAATCAAGGATTCAAGTACTTTGCATACGATTTGGTTGTAGGCCAAATGAAGCTCCTGTTCCTTAGTTTGTTCGAATACGTTGTTGGCCATAGTTACTACAAAAAGAAATATTTAAATCCGTTTAGTATAAATGGGAAAAACGCTAACCTTTTTCTTCAACATCTTCAAATCCATTTTTCATTGCATCCAAAATATTTATGAAATAATTGTATTGATCCGTTTCAATGTGAGTGCCTCGGCCGTAGATGCCTTGTTTAGCAAAACCCTTGGCATTCCGTAGGAATCTACTGTTTTTCTTTTTCTTTCTCTGCCGTTTCTTGTTGTGATCCCCAACAACACTGTTAGCATCTAACTCCATTACTATTCAATTGATAAATGAAAATATTTAAAATTTATTCTAGTTAAAAAATAATTTAACAACCAGCACTTGGAACGTGTTTTTCCAAAAAACTGTCAATAGCCGTAGCAAAACAAAAACGTGCAGAGATCAAAAATTTATCGATGTTTTGCGACAACTACTAAAGTTGAAATCCGATATCATGCTTCTCAAGTGGTCTCATTGCAGTTTACAAGACTATAAATATTGTATTTAAACCGAAACAAATAAAAGTTTTTAATTTAGATTAGATTTTTATTTTTTTAATCGTAACAACAACCAATAAATCATTAACTTTGGAAGCTAATAGGGGACTATATATAAAAGTTGTCTCTTATTTCAACATGGTTTCACCTCAGGACGAATATTTCGACGAAGTAAATATACTGATATTTCCTAAAATGTTATGAAAGTATAAGAATTATTATTAATTTTATTATAAAAATAAATTTTACCCAAAACTTAGGGAGCATCTATACTTATTTTGTTTTTATATACCAGAATCGCCGATATAAGACAGGCGTTTTATAATAAAGAAAGTTCAACCGAACACTAAATAATTCAACAAATCTTCCTGTAGACATTGAAATAAATAGTTTGTTTGTATGACGTCATCCAAAACAAGTTTTAAAAAATTGCTCGCATTCGAGAAATAAATATATCGATAACATAAATATATTTTACCACCTCTATGACCGGCAATTGTTTTGTTTGCTCAAGAAGGATAAAATTTTGAAAAGCAGCTGTTTGTGGAGGTAGATTAGTAATAAAATTTTTAATTTTGAATTAAATTCTTTATTTTTCCCCTTTTTCAGTATACCAGTCAAACACGGCTCATCATAAACATGTTTTCGCTGTGTAAACAGTCGCATCCAGCAACTGGTGTGGAATACGCAATTTGTTGTCACTTCTTCAACAACTCGGAAGAGAATCTGGTAGTGGCAGGTGCAAATATACTTAAAGTATATCGTATATTTCCACATCTCGATGCGGCACAACGTCAAAAATTACTTAATATCAATGATTTACGCACACCACCGAAAATGCGACTGGAATGTTTGGCAACCTACACCCTCTATGGTAATGTGATGTCACTACAAAGCGTTTCGCTAGCGGGCTCCCTACGAGATGCACTGCTTATTAGTTTTAAAGATGCCAAATTGTCTGTAATGCAACATGATCCTGATACATTTGCATTGAAAACACTTTCTTTGCATTTCTTTGAAGAAGAAGATGTGCGTGGTGGCTGGACGGGTCGCTATTTCATACCAATGGTGCGAGTGGATCCAGATTATCGCTGTGCTGTTATGTTGGTTTACGGCAAGCAATTGGTAGTGCTACCCTTTCGCAAAGATAACAGTTTAGATGAAATCGAATTGGCTGATGTGAAGCCTATCAAGAAGACACCTACAGCTTTAGTGGCACGAACGCCGATTCTGGCTTCATATTTGATAGCATTGCGTGATCTTGATGAAAAAATAGACAACGTACTTGACTTGCAATTTTTATACGGCTATTATGAACCAACTCTATTGATACTCTACGAGCCAGTTCGTACATTTGCTGGACGTGTTTGCGTACGCTCCGATACATGTGTTCTAGTAGCCATATCATTAAATATACAGCAGCGTGTGCATCCTGTAATTTGGACAGTAACTGGTTTGCCTTTTGATTGTTTACAAGTTTTCCCTATACAAAAACCAATAGGCGGTTGCCTAGTTACCACTGTGAATTCCATAATTTATCTTAATCAAAGTGTGCCGCCATATGGTGTGAGTTTAAACAGTTCAGCAGATCACAGCACAAGCTTTCCGCTCAAACCGCAGGATGGTGTTAAAATATCATTGGATGCAGCTCAGCTCACTTTTATCGATATAGACAAACTGGTGATCTCGCTTAAGGGCGGTGAGCTATATGTATTGACATTATGTGTAGATTCCATGCGTACAGTGCGAAATTTTCATTTCCACAAAGCAGCCGCTAGTGTTCTTACCAGTTGTATGTGTGTCTGTCAATCGGAATATTTATTTTTGGGTTCACGGTTGGGAAATTCATTGCTGTTGCACTTTACCGAAGAGGATCAGAGTACTGTTATTACCTTGGATGACGTTGAAACAAATGAAACTGCTGCCACAAATGACGAGTCAGTGCCCAAAGCACGACGAATAGAAGACGAAGAGTTAGAGGTATGATGTTAAATTGAAATACAGCGTAATAAAAATAAAACTATAGATTTTTTTCATTGTAAACGCTTTTCTAGGTTTATGGCTCCGGTACTAAAACTTCGGTCCAACTGCGGAAGTATATTTTCGAAGTATGTGACAATATGTTAAATGTGGGACCAATTAATTATATGTGCGCTGGTGAACGCGTTGAATTTGAGGAAGATGGTGTTACACTACGGCCACACGTAGAAAATTTAGCTGAACTGAAAATTGAAATCGTCTCATCTAGTGGTCACAGTAAAAATGGCGCATTATGTGTTTTCGTAAATTGTGTTACTCCACAAGTCATTACCAGTTTTGAACTGGAAGGTTGCTTGGATGTATGGACCGTTTACGATGATGCCAGCAAAAAGACAACACGCCATGATCATCATGACTTTATGATACTATCGCAACCTTCATCGTCATTGGTGCTACAAACGGGTGATGAAATCAACGAAATCGAAAATACCGGCTTTAGCTGTCAACAACCGACCATATTCGTCGGAAATCTGGGACAAAACCGTTTCATAGTACAGGCGACAACGCGCAATGTACGTCTGCTGCAGGGTACGCGTCTTATACAAAATGTACCCATCGATGTGGGCTCACCAGTGGTACAAGTATCTACTGCAGATCCATACGTATGCTTGCGTGTTCTCAATGGTCAAGTGATAACGTTGGCTTTGCGTGAAACAAAGGGCACGCCACGTCTGGCAATCAATAAGAACACTATTAGTAGTGTACCAGCAGTGGTTGCTATATCAGCATACAAAGACTTGTCTGGTTTATTCACAGCCAAATCTGATGATGTACTCAATTTAACAGGTAGTGGTGGCAATTCATTATACGCCGGCTTGGGTTACATGAAAGCCGAACCGCATATGAAAATCGAAGATGAAGAAGACCTTTTATATGGCGAGTCAGGCAACGCCTTCAAAATGAATAATTTGGCCGATCTAGCAAAGCAATCAAAGCAGAAAAATACCGATTGGTGGCGTCGTTTGCTGCCGCAAGTGAAACCGTCTTATTGGCTGGTCACAGCACGTGAGTCGGGCACTTTGGAAATCTATTCAATGCCTGATATGAAACTAATGTATTTGGTGAATGATGTGGGTAATGGCGGTATGGTGCTCAGTGACTCGATGGAGTTTGTGCCCGTACCACTGACTAATCAGGAGAACAGCAAAGCTGGTATACTTCTAAATTGTATGCCACAACATGCAAACTCACCGCCGGCTCTGGAAATCAACATGGTTGGTTTGGGGAATCAGGGCATGCGCCCATTGCTTTTGATACGCACACGATTGGAGTTAATGATATATCAAGTATTTCGCTATTCAAAAGGACATTTGAAGATACGTTTCCGTAAATTGGATACACTAAATATGTTAGATATACAACCAACAAGTATGGAAGTAGACGATTTGGAAAGCGAGTTGGAATCTTATAATCTACAAGAGCGTTACGTCTCTAAATTGCGTTACTTTGCCAACATAAGTGGGCATAATGGCGTAATGGTTTGTGGCGTCAATCCACACTTTCTCTTTCTCACTTCTAAAGGTGAACTGCGTGTACATAAATTCTATGGTAACGGTGTTGTGCGTAGTTTTGCACCATTCAATAATGTGAATTGTCCCAACGGGTTCTTGTACTTCGATCATACGGCTGAACTAAAGATCTCTGTGCTGCCAACTTACCTGACATACGATTCGATTTGGCCCATGCGTAAAGTGCCGCTACGTTGTACGCCGCGACAGATAGTCTATCATCGTGAAAATCGTGTGTATTGCCTGATTACACAGACCGAGGAGCCAACCAATAAATACTATCGTTTTAATGGCGAAGACAAGGAGTTAACGGAGGAAAACAAAGGTGAGCGTTTCATTTATCCTAATGCTTCGAAGTTTTCAATGGTGCTTATGAGCCCTGAGACGTGGGAAATTGTACCGGATGCTTCAATACAATTTGAGGAATGGGAACATGTGACTGCTTTTAAAATAGTAAAACTCGCCTATGAAGGTACACGTTCCGGTCTGAAGGAATACCTTTGTATTGGCACAAATTTCAACTACAGTGAGGACATCACTTCACGTGGTAACATACATATTTACGATATTATTGAGGTAGTACCTGAGCCGGGAAAACCGTTAACAAAATTCAAATTAAAAGAAGTCTTCAAGAAAGAGCAGAAGGGACCTGTCTCAGCTATATCGGATGTACTCGGTTTTCTAGTGACAGCGCTTGGTCAAAAGATTTATTTGTGGCAGTTGAAGGATGACGATCTCATTGGCGTTGCATTTATTGACACAAACATCTATGTACATCAGATAATATCTGTAAAATCATTAATTCTCATTGCGGATGTATATAAATCCGTTAGCTTGCTACGTTTCCAAGAGGAGTTTCGTACATTATCATTGGCGTCGCGTGATTTCAATTACCTACAAGTCTATAACATTGAATTTATGGTGGATAACAATAATTTAGGTTTCCTCGTCACCGACGCTGATAAGAACTTTTTAGTTTACATGTATCAACCAGAATCACGGGAATCCATTGGTGGGCAAAAATTGATACGCAAATCGGATTATCATCTCGGTCAAGGAGTGAACACAATGTTTCGTGTGCAATGCCATCAACGTGGTCAACATCAACGGCAACCATTCCTCTATGAAAATAAACAACTCGTCTTCTTCGGTACATTGGATGGTGCGCTTGGTTACTGCTTACCATTACCTGAGAAGGTATATCGAAGATTTTTGATGTTACAAAATGTTTTGCTCTCCTACCAAGAGCATCTGGGCGGCCTAAATCCTAAAGAATTTCGCACCGTGAAATGTTCGAAAAAATTATCGCTCAATCCGTGTAGGTGCATAATTGATGGTGATCTAATTTGGTCATACACAATGATGTCGACAGCAGAAAAGAATGAGGTCGCGAAAAAAATCGGTACACGCACAGAAGAAATTCTAATGGATCTACTCGATATTGAGCGTATTGCGGCGGTTTTCTAAATCCGATCTTTAAATTAAATTTCACAAATTTTTAGTTTTTAAATTAGACAATAAGAATTTCAAAATACAAGTTTTATGTACGAGATGAAACACTTTACTATTTTTTGCTGAACAAAGCTAAGTGAATAAATAAGTTATAGGAAGTTAAAGTTTTAATATTAATTATCGCTTGCTGGGAAGCTGTACTTTGCCGTTGGTTAATATATAATATTATTTTCCATATGTGAGGTTATGATAATTTTTCGGGTAGACAAAGATTGGCACTCATTAAAAAGAATTTCTCAAACGATTACACATTACTAATAATCGTTATTAAAACGTGTTTCAGTTTTCTGATAAATTTATATGAATGTGTGTTTAACGTAAATTCAACTAGGATATTGCGGTTGAGACTGCTTGATTTGTAATTGATATTACACACTTAAATTCGAAAAAAAATTGATAAATCAACAGAAAGCTTAAATACAACTTTTTGATTATATTCAAACAATACTTTATATCCGCAAACAAAATATTCTTTCTTTTTTTTGTACTTTAGCGTCTAAAACTGTAAAATGGTATATCATAAAATTGCCATATTTTCGAACGCAATTTATCAACCTCGTAACGTATACAACGCTGTCTGAAAGTGCCATTTTGATGTTCCTTACAACGTACGATCGGATGACCATTCGCAAAACATTTGTTCCGTGTACCAAAGTAAATGCGTCCCAATGTATTTGAAACCATATTGTTCACCGTTTGCAAGCAATTCAAAAAAGTTTGCTCACAAGTGCATTTCAAACTGAAATTAAAAGAAAAAAGTAATAAATGTTTACAATATGTGTAGTTTTAACAATAACACCTTAATACTTACATAGGAAACAAACCGGTATTATTCAGACCATGCAAGCTTTGTCGTGGTTCCAAAATTTCTTCACAATGATCGTGCTGTCGACAACAGGTGTCCGCCTCACGTTGTGTACCCAAATCACTATAATTGGCTGCCGTGTTACCAGGACCACACCATTTTGTACCTGGTACGGTTATACCAGTGTATGGTACAGGTGGCAGTGCTTGATTGTAGATATCTTCATCTTCGAATATCGACTCATCTTGAAATGCAACGGCGTTCGTTGTAAAAAGGATCGTGATAATAGATATTTTCAATTTATTACAAAACATGCTGCTGAGTAGGCGCTCATGAACTAATTTTTAAGTGCGAAAATTTATAGACCCCAGGCAGCTGTAAAACTTGGTACGTTGGCATATTGACCTCAGACATTAAATTAAATTGATAAGAGCCAAGAATATTTGTATGTATATGAACCTTGTGTGTAGATTAATGAAGAGAATTTTTGAAATTGGCCTGTGCATATGTACACACGTAATTTCATAGGTGTGTTTACATTTACGAAACACTTAAAGAGTATTTAAATTGGAAAAAACTAAAAGTAAATATGGATATACCAATGTGTATGTGCTTGTGTTTTTGCATGCACGTACTTAAAATCTCTTGCAAAGTTTTAAAATATATCCAATTAACCTACTTTTGTAATCCAAAAACCTTGAAAATTTTGGAATATTCCACATTTACTTCCTTCGTTGAACACATACCAAAAATGGTTTAAAAAATTATTATTAATTGAATTGATTTAATCGTCTTTTCCTTTTCCGCGAATATGGACACTTCCGTTTTTTCTTTTCTGTCGTCGATGCATGTCAAATAACAGGATGCAATGAACAGCTGATTTTTGTTTTGTTTTGATAAACCGATTTGTTTTGATTGCAAAACTCAGTTGAAGCTAGTATTTAGAATATTCATTTAGTTGTCTTTCATTTTTTTAGCAAACATAAATATATAAAATGTTACTAAGGCACTCGTTCAACTTTTTTGAAGCTAGACTGAAAAATTTTCTCACAGTTAAAAGTAAACAAGCTTGCAGTACTTCTCGTCATATCAGTTATATACAAGGTCAGGAACCGGAACCTAAAATTCGTGAATATTTCTATTATATAGATCACGAAGGCATGGTAAGGTTATTTAAATTAAATATTATCCATTAATTTCTAGTAATTATTTCTCCCGACAGCTTTTTTTAGACGATGCCAAAATGAAGAACTTCACATCTTGCTTTAAGGAAAAACAGTTTCTAAAATTTTTCTTTAGTCGAGTTAAACTGAATGATACGAAACGTTATAATGAACATTTTCCATATCTTTCACTATGCGGGCGCGAACGAAATTTTATACGCTGTGATGATACTCCAATTGTTTTTACACATGTAATATCAGATGAAAAGGGTAAACTACCTAACGTTATATTTCGAAAACTTGTATACATATGTACTCTTGTATTCAGGCAATGACCGTTTGTCATACGCTCATGCAGCAGATCAACTCTCTACAGATTTTTTGCCACATAAAATTTATATGAATCCACAAACTGGACGCGTTTATCATCCTGCTTGGCCAAAGGTGGGTGGCATTGGTTTGATTCGTTCGAAGTTGGCCATAGAGTTGAGCCGTAATTTCGAATTTGTAAACGGTGAATCGGAGTCGCCCACACATTTCTCGTGGCGTGGCCAACGTTGGCAATTGGAGAATGAATGGGTTATACATACACAACGTTTTGGTATGTTTGAAGAGTAATTAAATGTCAATGAGATGAAGTTTAACAACAAGTTTTTTTTTATATAAATCTTAAATATTTTTACTACAATAATGCAATGTGTTATTTTATGAAGAAAAGGCAAAGTTTTTAAAATGTATATAACCACAAAAGAATACTTGTTTCTTTACTCAATGCTTAATGGTTTGAATTCACCTTCCTTAACCCATGAAAGACCATTTGCTGCTGCGGTTGGACTTTCAGGTAATTCTTTGCCTGTGCAAATACGTTCTTTTATGGGTCCGTGTATGTCGCTATCGAACTTTTCAAATACTATATAATGTGGATCCTCAGTAGGTGGTTCATCGTAAATACGTTCTTTGCTGGATAATGCACAGTCCTTTGCACGGGCCATAAATTCAGCACGATTTTGCGTAAGCAATTCTGCTGCTTCTGCGTTGTTATATTTAGCGCCCGCGGCGGCAAGGCGTGTACACTCAATGGGATTAACAAATATAGCCTGTATATATTTAAGCAATTGCCAAATGTGATCTTCTCCACTACGCCAATAAGGGAAGGCACAAGAGATATCTAATGAGCCGGTATAAGGGCAGATGAGTGGGTGTATTATTTCATTTTGGAAGATAACAGTCTTAAAGAAAAGAAACATTATTATTCATACATTTATATACATATATATATATATATAATATTTCTTACAGGTAATGATTTATCATCAGGAAAGTTATCGGGTAAAAGTATAGTGAATCGAAATACTGCATCAACGTAAAATCCTTGTCTCACGAAGATTACCCCAAACCATACTGTAATCAGTTGATAATTATTAGTTTACATAAACATAAATGTATGTTTTTCAATTTTAATTACATAGTGAGTTTCCGTACGACGGTATGACATAGACCCCACCTATTTTTTCCGATTCAATCATTTTGCTTTAAATAGAAGGATTAACAATGATGGCAAGTAAACATTATAACATATACTTACTACTCAGCAAGCACTTTATATTCTTGCTGTATTGTTGTCAGGAGTTTATCTTCTCCTTTGTGTGCGTCCAGTGTCATTTTAAAATTTAAAATGTTAACAAAATATATATGAGCAAAATAAAGCTACTTAAGCGACATTAGATAAATAAATAAATTATAAATCAGCTGTTTAATAAACTGAGATGTGTTTTTTTGTTTTGAGTGCATTAGAGGAATGTCGGAAAACAACCAGCACCCTAAAGTAATTTTTTATTTTTAAACGTATTAATTCATAATATTAGAATCCTTGTTTTAATATATTCTACTCAGAATAATGATTTACTAGTCCAAATATACAAAATTTCTTTACGTTGAAGCAATTCCCTCTAACCAGCATGCCATTGCAGCCCTGTTTTGATAAAAAAATTGAATTTAAGTCCACTAAACACAGCTCTGCCATATGTTTACTAAAAAGTGTCAAAAGCAGTGGATTACAATTTGACCAATTGTCCATAAAAACAAATACTAGGAAAAGTTGTTCATAGAAGTGGTATGGTATATATTATATATTTTGCTTTTGATAATTTAATTAGTAAATAATTTTGTTTTGTTTTTTATTTATTTGAATCATATTAGAACCAGCTGCTGAACCGGATGTGTATTCCCATTTAACGGTATTCTTAAAGTTAAATACTATAAAATATACGTAGATTTTCTGGATGCTGCAACCACTAAAATTGAAGGCCAGTAAAACACAAAGCATTAAATTTGACAGAAAAAAAAACAGCAGTAACATAGTATTAGTAATAGCATATTCGTTATTCGCTAATTTTTGGATTAACAACTGTCAAGAAACCTGATCGTGGCTGTGCAAAAAAAAAAAAACAAAAACAAAAAAATTTGCATCATCAATAATAGGGCTTATGTGAGTAATAAGTAATAAATAAGTTTGCAGTTACGAAAGTGAATAAAATTTAAGTATAATGAGCGCATCTATAATTGCTAATTTATGTATACACATTCTTACCTGGAATGTGGGTACTCATCAGCCTGATGATATTTCCATGACAGATGTATTGTCACTGAACGGAACTACTGCCTGTCCAAATCAACAGTTGCCGGATATCTATGTTGTAGCTTTGCAGGAAGTTAGTATTCATGCTAAAAATCAATTTCTCAATATTTTCCATGATGATCCATGGACATTTAAAATTGGTGCACATCTTACACCCTACGATTATATTAAAGTCGGTACAGAGCAAATGCAAGGTATACTCATTATGATGTTTGCCCAACCCAAACATGAACCACATATGAAAGATGTGGAAGTGCAGAGCACACGTACAGGCTTGGGTGGTTTATGGGGTAACAAAGGTGCTGTAAGCATACGCATGAGTCTCTACGGTACAGGTGTGACGTTTGTTGGTGCACATTTAGCAGCACATGACGATAAGTTGAGTGAACGTATCGAAGACTATAATCAAATAGTGAATAATCATCATTATAAAACACCAAAATATCGCAGTATTTTCGATCATGATTACGTTTTCTGGTTTGGTGATCTGAATTTCCGTTTAACTGGTACAGACTCTGCATGGGACATACGCAATTTAGTGGAACAGGCTAAACTGGAGGAGTTAATTGAACGTGATCAACTATCCTTAGCACGTACCACCGGCAATGCATTTGCCTTGCTCACCGAGGAGTTACCTACATTTGCACCAACATTCAAATTCCACGAAGGCACATCCGAGTACAATTTGAAAAGACGTCCAGCATGGTGTGATCGTATTTTGTATCGTGTACAAGTGAATCGTTACCCTGATATAACTTTGAATATAACTCAATTGTCATATAAATCGCATCCTGATTATACACTTTCCGATCATAAACCTGTGTCGGCGGAATTCCTCTACAAAATCGAAGCGCAATCGCAGACTGATGAAGAACTCTATGAGTTAACGCATGGCGGCAGCAGTACTGAAACTCCGTTAGCTAGTGTAACTATCTTATTTGTTACAGCTTTGTTGATATTCTACTAAAAATCTCGCAATACAACTGGTTTGTATTAATTTTTTCTTGTTTGTCTATCTGCAGTTTGATAGCGAAAATGCACGGCTCGCACCAATGTATTAAAGCAAAATATGTACATATATGTTAGAAAATCCGTTAAAAACAAAAAACAAGAAATTATAAACAACAAGTCTGATAAGGTCCAGTTGTTTGACAGCGTGATAAGTGCCAAAGTGCCCAGCAAACGAAAGTATGTAACGCCATTACAAACACATATGAATGTTAAGCAATTTTATAAGTTTTTAATTTTTTTTTTATATATATTTTATATTTGTGTATTATATTTTATATTTGTAAACGTCTACTTTTATGTTATATTTGCTTTATTTTCTTTAAATGAATCTCGCTTATTCCCTTTATTGTAATTTAAAAACTTTTGCTTTAACTTTAATGTTTTTTTCTTATAATGTATTATGTTTATGTACAGATATAATATATAGTGTTTATTTAACTAATTATATTGTTTATTACTTTAAAAGTTATCTTGTCTACACTTTTTTAAATGGCATCTAGTTTACTAACAGTACCTTCAAAAATTAAACTCTCTTGTTTTCTATAATAATAATATTTAATAAACTACGTTCGTAATAAAAGGTAAATCTCTTATGCTACAATAATACATTCTATAGTGTTGCGTTTACTTTGAAGAAAATTTATAAAAGACAATATACATAAGTACAATATACCAAAAATGTATGCTTATAAATGTGCGAATATACATACATAGTTAGCAGCAAAGAAAAAAAAGATACAGTAAATGTTGAAACTATGCTCGAAAAAAGCTCATATATAATAAAGTATTAATAATTATGACAGTAAGTTTATATGTAAATATGTCTACATATTTATAAAATATTTAATGATGAAATATAAATTTGCCTTCACTCGAAAAATGCTCACATATCACATTGTATTGATCAAAAGTAGAATCCCGAAAGATTTTTAGTAGTATATTGTAGCATATTCGTATATACACACGCGCATAGATATTTATATATATAAGCGACGTAGCGCATTATATTTTATATAAACTCCTTTACCTTGATAATATAATGTAAATTAAAAGTGTATATTTCAATTATATAAAAATAAAAGATATTTAATTCAAAAACATGTACATACAAATATTTCATTTCTATATATATATTGTATATATATATATAATATATAGATATTTTAAATAGAAAATGAGGTATTACTAACTGGGCGGTTTAATTAAAAGCAGTCTCTGATATGTTACAGCTGTATACACATAGTATCATAGATACATACGTAATGTATTCTACATCATGGAGTATATTTCCTTTAATTAATGTTTAGTTATTTATTTTTCGTCGTATTGTATTCTTTTGTTGATTTTTGTTTGAATTAGAATTTCTGGATTCCATTAACTTTAATCATTTGGGGTTGCTAAAGCGTGTATCTCAGTTGTTTATTTTATACATACATATATGTTTCAAGTAGGCATATAAAATTGTTCAAATGAAAAAAAATAAAATTTGCATTTGATTAAATTTTATGATAAAAAATTAAAGAAAAAGCCTAGATAAGTGTAGAGTTCGTATTCCAGCATAACAGTCAGGACTCGTTTAGACTCGCTGAAAAATCACCAAATAAATATTCACATAAAATATCCTCGATTTTCTTGTAAAGTTACTTTATTTACAAATTAATCGAGAAAGCTAAGCAAAAACACGTTGTCTTTCTATACGGTATTAAACCGTCATTCAATGTCATCTGATCTTTGTTCTGTGCCAATCAGCCTTGCATGGGTACTTTTGCTTCCTTGGAAATTACATCAAGCGTTTAAAATCATATCACACCACATCAACTCATGCCATGAAGTGTTATTTTCCTTTATTTAAATAATCGCTTTTATCTGCCACTAGAACATAATCTTCCGCGACAATCATATATAATCATACTTTATATCATATCACAGGGTATTATATCATTACACTTTGTATCATGGCACATGACTTTCGTCGTCTCAATTCTTACTTTGAATCAAATAACATGACGTCAAGTCACATCATTTCATATCACATCACAGGACAACATCATATCGCTTCTCTTGAGCAGTTATACTATAAGTTATAACTTGTTATAAGTATTCTCCTTTACATCATATCCCCTCATATCATAAGACATTTAATCATATCACTTCTTGTCATATGACATTAAATCATATCACTTCATGTCATATGACATTAAATCATATCACTTCATATCATATGACATTAAATCATATCACTTCAAAGCATATCATATCACTTTATGTCATATCACAGAACAATATCATATCACCTCAAATAATTTCCCTTCAATTGAGCAGTTATACTATAAGTTATAACTTGTTATAAGTATTCTCTTTCACGTTATATCATCTCATATCATAAGACATTAAATCATATCACTTCATGTCATTTGACTTCAAATCATATCAGTTCATATCATAAGACATTAATCCATATCACTTCATATCATATGACATTAAATCATATCATATCACTTTATGTCACATCACAGAACAATATCATATCGCCTCAAATCAATTTACTTCAATTGCGTAGTTATAAGTTATGAATTTTCTCCTCCACATCATATCACTTCATAACATATGACACCATATCATATCATATGACTCCACATCACCACATATTATATCACATCATATAGCTTAAAATTTCCCAAATATTTTATGAACAATTTTTTTTTAATACATAAATAAACAATTCTCATCAGTCGAGTGCTTATCCCCGCCCTGGCAGAGTACTTTCGGAAAATAATATTTCTAAATGATTATCAAGTCCTCCGAGTGTATTTCTGACATGAAATAAAAATCTCAGAAAATGCATCAGCCTACGGCTTAAAATAATCCCTATGTTGTATAATGTATAAATATATTAATTTATCTTATTATTCCTTAATCGTCACTTTACAGCGTTGAATTCTACACAAAAAAGTTAAGTAAATTTGAGGTTATGTTAATGCCCTTTAGAATTAATTCAAATCGTTTCGTGAAAGAACTTAAATAATGACATAAATTTACATCACTTTAATGTGTAATTTTAATTTGTTTTTTATCAAGTTGATTTTTTTTTTACGCTGGTTTTTGTATTTTCTTTCGCTTTCCAATTTTTGATTACTTCATTTGATCACTACATATATAATGAATTTCACTTTTGCACTTGTTTGTTTTTCACCCATTACTTCGAGAAAATGATGAATGATAAAAACAACAATTAATCCTCGACTCATAAATTAAAAATAAAAGTATTAGCACAGATAAGAGAGTAAGTTTCAGCAATCATTTATTTAAATTCTCTTAAACACATATACACACACATATATGCAAATTAAGTAGATAAATAGCCAGCAATGAAATTTGAACCTAAATTAATTAGGAAAAAAATTATAAGTTTAAATTTATTATATATGTTTCTTTCTTTCTTTGGTGCAGAATATCAACAAAAAAAAATAATAATAAAAACTTTAAAACCTTTTGCTAAGAGTGAAATGAGTCAACAAGAACTACAAATGCCGCCAAATAGTGGTTAGAGACTGTCATACAGTGAATATAGTATAGGAATCTACTTTACCAATTCTAATTTACAATTTTTAACTTTTCAATTTTTTTGCTACTGAATTTTTAATTTCAAATATTTCAATTTTTCTGAATTATTATAATTTTCATTTTCTTTTAAATATATTGAAACTAACTTCTCTATATATAGCTACATATATAACGGTTATTTCATTGTGATATTGATATGATTCCCGCTTTTATTTGTATTATTTTATTTCACCAAATAAAATTTTATTTTTGGAACCATATGTGTGCATATGCCCATACGTATGTTTGTATGAACTAACAAAATGCGATGAATATACATATGTACATGTGATAATAACAACATTTTTTGTGATTTACCTCTATGTTTTGGTATTATTTGCTCTACATATTTGACTTCCCTTTTGTACTAACGCTAATAACAAGTGTACACAATGTTCTAACAAATGTATTGTATATATGTACATATGTATGAATGTGGTTATTCGAAAACAAGATTTTATTTTCTATTGGTTTACAGATATTGACTGACATTGAGAAGCATGGAGTGTTAAAAAAAATTTAAATTTAATTTTATTATTATTCTATTTTATTTTATTTTATTTTACTTTATTTTATTTTATTTTAATTTATTTTATTTTATTTTACTCTTTTGTTTTATTAATATTTTATATTATTTTACTTTTTTTTATGTTGCTCTGATTTAATTTAAGTTATTTAATTTTATTTTTATTTTGTGTTATTTCATTTTAATTTAATTTATTATTTCTCTTTATTTATTTTATTTTTCTTTACTTTATTTTCATTTATTATGTTTAACTTTATAATTTTATTTTATATTTTTTTATAAAATTAATTTTTTGATTTATTTTACTCTATTGTATTTTAATTTATTAATTTTATTATAATTTTTCTTTTTAATTTTATATTTTTTTTATTTTATTTAGACTTATTTTAAACTAGCTGTGCTCCACAACGATTCGCTGTGGCACATACTTTGCATATGCTTTGTTCTTGATTCATGTTAATCTAAGCAAAAAGCAACCGCTATCAGTCTCTGGTCCACTTTTTCGTATGAAACTTTTCACGAACCTTTCATTATTTATATTTTATTATTTTTTTATTTTTATTATTTGGTTTATTTATGTTATTTCATTTTAATTGATTTTATTTCAATTTAAATGGAATTTAAATTAATTTTATTAGATTTCATTTCATTATGTTTAAATGTTATATTTTTCTTTTTTAACTTTATTTTTTATTATTATTTTATTTTACTTATTTTAATTGATTTATATCAATTTAATTTTATTTATTTAAATTTAACTTAAAAAATTTTTTTTTTCATTTTATTATGTTCAAATATTATATATATTTTTTTGAACTATATTTTTTAATATTATTATTTTAGTTTATTTAATTTATTTAATTTTAATTGATTTAATTCAATTTAGTTTAATTTATTTAAATTTAATTTTATTTTATTTTATTATGTCCAAACAATATATTTTTCTTTGTTAAACTTTATTTTTAATATTATTATTTTGCTTTAATTATTTTATTTCATTAAATTAATTTTATTTTATTTTGTTCAAATATTATATTTTTGGCTTTTAAACATTATTCTTTTTATTAATATTTTATTTTATTTATTTCAAATAAAAATGTATTTTATTTATTTCATTTTAATTGATTTAATTTAATTTATTTAAATTTAATTTAAAT